CCCAGCGAGTGGAAACTGAGATTTTTACTGTACCTTCAAGACCAAAGGTAGAAAAAGATGAATTTCTGCTGCTGCTCAGCTCTCGTCTGTTATAAATCTGGGACGTGAATGTCAGATTTGTCCTCCAGTGACTCGGGCAAATTAGTGCTTTTGCCCAAAAATGTTCAATGATCGTAAAAGGAACTGAACTGAGAAATCAAAATCACTGCAATGTTGTCAAAATAAATGTTTGTCATTAGTAATTGAATCACTCGCCTGTTCACGAGTCAGCGCAAGGGAATTAATTGCATATGAGATTTGGAGGTTTTTACAACAGATGCTCTTCCTGACTTACTGCCTCTCATCACTTAATGCCTTTACACAGTGTTTCAGGCCACAGGCTGCAGCAGGTTCTGTGTAGAAACTAACAATTCGTAATAATTACTGTTTTTCAGGTCTTGATGTAAACTTGGAATCTGTTCAGCGAAAAGCAGGCGATAGTGAGAGGATGACGAGCTACAGACGATGGAAGGTCAGTCCAATGAGAAGTTGTGGTAAAACACACGTGTGTGTGCCGCTTCTTCTCTGTTCCCTCCAGGGTGTGCTGTGAACACAGTTTGAACTCCTTGTTACCAGCAATCTACTTTGTTGTTTAACGTAATTCAAACATTTTTTGTTTTGTTTTTCTATAACAGATTACACTTTTAAATTTAACACAAATGATAATCTCTAACTACATAGTCACTTTGGGGAATTTTAAATGTTGAATTCTGACCCACAAAAAATATTTTGGATAGAAATAACATACAAGAGAGACCATCTCTACTACTTTGTGGACCTTTGAAATAATATCTCTGGTCTAGTTTTTAAATCATATAATGCATATTTTATAAGCTAATGTTAGCCAGCACTCTATTTGTAGACTAGCATTCTGTCATTTACCAACTTACTTTAAAAAAAAAAAACATTTTGTGTAATTTTTATTTTTAGGTGTGGCTTTTATTCTTCTACCAAACATATTTATATCATACATATTTTCTTGTTGACGTTGTGTTCATATTTTAGCATTTTAAACATGTCACTTTTGGCTATCATTTAGCTACTTTTAACTCATTATTAGCAAACAGCTAACCAATAATGAAAAATATTTATCAAGAATCCTGATGTTTACTTAACTCCTATATAATTTGTGATATATTTTGCTAACATCTACTTCTTCTTCTTCATTCTAGACGTTTGACTTCTACCCCAGGACTCAGTAGCAGACAGTCTGATATCAAACTGCTAATATTTTAATCTAAAAGATTCAAATTCCTTTTCCTCAATGATATTTCAGTTATTAAATATACACTCCAATATAGATTATCCACAACCTCCATCCAGGAAAGGGGTCAGATCAGATGAGCTGGCGGCTCAGTTTATGTCAGGCTGAAACCACTAATGTGATATTATCCTCATTAACTGGTCTCATCCCAATAGAAACCTTAGCCCAGAGCAGGAAGTGTGCTCTGCTGGTGTTGGTGTTACCCCCCCTCCCGCCTCCTGCTAGGCTCCTTCATGGTCCAGATGAGGCCTAGGTGGCAGCCCTAGGCTCCATCCATCATGACTTATCAGCAGCTGCTGTCTGGAGGTCGACTTTGACATTTTCTCCTCTTCAGCATAGGTCAACCACAGTAAGGGACACACACACACACACACACACACTGTTGTACAGTATGAGATAATTACAGTGGGGTATATGTCAGGGGACTGCACATGTTCTTCTAGGTGGGTCAGATCTAATAATACAAAAATACCTGGAGGCCAACTGCTCCTCTGGTGACACCTGAGACTGGGATTTCCTGCAGAAAATATTAATCTAAGGGAAATTGTAATAAAATAAAATAAATATTCCCAGTATTGCAAAATATAAAAATGGTAACAATAGACTCAAGGTTGCTAAGCTTTATGTAAAAAAGAATGAATAACTAAATGTTACGGCAAACATAGTGAATAGAAAAGACAAGATAATGTTAAACCAGTTTATAGAAATACCAACCAAAATACAAATTGGACAGTAACAGTTTACAGAGACATTTGGCAGCAACGACAGGATTGGTATATTTGGCTAAAAATTTACAAAAGATAGACCAAAGGCTAAAGGTTAGCCTACAAGGGTACAAACAAAAGATAGTTAACTAAATAATTGTTGAAAAAAAAAATGCTGAAAAAGACAAAACAGCCAAAATATTGTGGCAAAAATACCTTGATTCTAAAAGAGATCATAATATTTTGGTAAGATAAAAAATACTTTAGTTGCAATAACCCAAATGTTTTATATAAATAGCTTTTGGGCTACATTACTTCCAACCAGCTACTATGGTTAGCAGTGACTCTGCTCTGGTATTCTGCAGCTGCTTCTTTTATACCGTCTGTTAAATCTGCTTTGTTCCCCTGGTGGCAGAGATCAGTTTATAGTCTCAGTGTGAAAGTGTCGAGGAAGAAAGATCACACCTACGTCTCTGACTGATGGGCACTAAGAATTTATTTCTGCCTCCACTCCAGTCAGCACAGAGTGATGCTCCCTGAGTGTGTGTACAAACAGCACGTTGCTGAAGAGCAGCTCCAAAGTCTTCACTGAGATTCGGAGAAAGGATAAATCAGGCTTCACAAATTTTATTAGTTTTTAAGTTTAGAAGGTAAACTCCACACTAATGTTTTCTAACTTTATTTCTTACATGATGTGGCATTTGTTAGCATGTAGCATTGTCGCAGTTTTAATTGGAAGCTGGGTTGGATTTAAAATAAAACATGTGACTGGAAAGGCTTGAAGAATTTCTTATCAACTGTTAAATGCGTTGATAAATAATGTGTCCGAAACACATTTGTGTTATCAGTATGTTTTCAAGTGTAGTCCAAGGGGAGACAGTTTAAAAATAAAATCAAAATCTTGTCCCCCTGATGACCAAGACTGTAACAGCATGCCATTACAGTTACAATAGGAATCAGATTAAATCTGAGCTCTCTGTCCAGATATTCTGAAAAAGGGATAGACAGAAAAACTCTTGGCTAAAAATGCTCAAAATTTCACTAGAAATGCAGCAACATTGTAAACTCTTCCATCCCCAAAAGCTAACTTTACAACCAAAATGCGTCACTCTTAAACTTGTTGATTCCCTCTGTGTAAAAATTCCACCAAGAAAGATTCCAAGTGAAAATAAAAACATAAAAAAGAAACTACAAACAAAGGCAGAGGGCAGTGTTGCTGCAGATGGAGACATAATCAAATACAGTAAAAGTCAAGTTCCAAGAACAAAACATGAAGAAAAAAAATATTTCATTACATTTTCAAAGGCTTCTACAACGTGCTGCTTCAATGAGATTATTCCTTCTTTGTGGAATTCTTTATCTGTTGCAGCAGAACCTCTTTGCCTATGAAATAACACAATCAAGTTCTTTAAATGTTCATACAATGTGAGAAGATCTGAGAAAAAAAACCTCACATGAATAGATAAAATCCTTTCACAACGCTTTGACAGTTTTTCCATTTAGGTTTGGTGAAAAATTAGATTTTTCCTTTGGTGAGAGTTGAAAAACCACAAACTAAATGTGTTTTGGTTACAGACTTAACGATGTATTTCTGCTGGCCCTGTGGTTTATGTTGGTTTTTAACCAATGTGGCTGACTCATGATGATGACGATAATTCAATCTAAAATGTTCTTTACCTTGTTGTCATAGGAAGACGGTTACTCTTCTACAATGGTGATGGACAGAAGAAGGGGGACAGGAGGTAAACAGACGGACCACTGACAACTGTGTCACCATCACCGAACGTTTGGCTCCGGATTTGACCTCCGTCCTTTCACTGTCACTCCTATGCCACTCACCCTGCAGCCTCGTCGGTCCCTTTGGTGTAAGATTGACACAGCCAGGACGAGTTTCTAAAAAAAACAAGCCTCTAAAATATGCTTATATGATTAAGATCCCTGATCATTTCTCAATTCTCTGCCACCTCTCAGTAAAAGCCCTGTGAAGAGGAGAGAACTAGTCAGCACTTCATGGCCCATCTGTCATTTTCAGTCTCCCATCAGTAGTCAACCCTGTGGACTAACAGAGATTATACTGAGGCCATGACACATGGATTTCTCTGACACGTACTGCCTTGACCAACAAAGAGCTGGAAGAAAAGTCGAAGGGCAGAGGCTCCTACGGTAACGCAGCCTCATGAATGCCAATGAAGTGCCATGAAACAGCAGGAGGAAAACAAACAAACAAACAAGACGGTGTTGATGTTTAAAGCAAACAATATGAAAGTTTCAAAAGGCTTTGTTGCACGTCTCTGTCATCCCCTCCTCTCTGAAGTGTAACCCAGTGAAAGAAACTCCAAGGCTGAAATGAAATCCACGGTAAGAATATGTGATAAAGCTCCACATTGAATTCATCCAGGCAGCTGGATTTGTTAGGAGCTGTTTTCTCTGGCATCCTCGGATTCTTTATTTATGCTTTATTCATCTTTCTTTCTCCTCTTTGTCCACAGGCAGCAGCTGGGAAACGTGCTGGTAATTTACACATTCATCTATTTTGAGCCCTGGCACCGTTTGCAGGAGTGTGATGAAGCCCACTGCAAGTTAGTAGGTCAGTAGTTGAACACTGATGAGATGCTGCTGCCTGTTTGTTTTCACACCATCCCTGAAAATTAAAACATCACGTAGAGGTAAAAAGCAGCTACAGGAGGATTATGGTATAAAAACGAAACGTGTCATCAAGAACTTTTAGCATGAAGGGGTGTAAAAAAAATCTAATAATTTAAAGGGCACATAACTTGCAAAATTGACTTTATCAGGGTTGTGGCACAGATATTTGGGTCTATGGAGGTTCAACCCATGTGTCAAACTCAAGTCCCGCAGACCAAATGTGACCCACGAATCAACCTGTGTGGCCTGCGGGAGATTAAAAAGCGTTTAATTGCCTTATAATAAAGTCTGTGCTCCTTCAGAGCTTATATTGAACATAAATCACAACTACAACAATGCATTTCATGATGATAAGAAATCTATGAGCAGAGATGTGTGTTTAAGGACAGGCAGCATCACCTCCTCAACTTTACCCAAACCCAACAGTTATGAATGGAGAAATCGGTGTTTGTTTTGTGATTTTTGTAATTTCCCTGAAGTTTGAAGGTTTGATTTGAATGTTTGAATATTTGTTACCTATGAAGGTAGAGTCTACCTCTCTGCAATCTTTTAAATAATGTATTACTCGCCTTTCCCAATTATAGAGGATAGATCTGAGATATTAACTGGACTTAAGAAAACATTGACAATAAAATAAGAAAAAACCATCATATCATTGAAACAAAATGTCATACCTGTGAAAACAATCACAGGAAAAATGAAAAATTGTAAAAAAAAAGAAGATCCAATTGAAGCACATAAGTGATATGATGAGCTAAAGCATCATGGATGCATTACTTTTCTTTTCTTTACTTAATTTCGAAAACAAAAAGTATTCTCCAAATACTAAGTGCTTGCAGAAATTGTGGTCAGAAACATTTGGACTGAAATTATATACATACTTTTACAAAAATCGTTGATACAGTTTAGAAAACAGTAGTTTAATGTAGTCTGACAAGTTATAGGTTCATACTGTATACATCCTGGACCCGATCCTCTAGAAAGTAATAAGCCGACTGACGGTAAACAACCATTTAAAACAATTTTAATGAAAAATCCTGAAATAACCTGTAGGTAGCAACAGAGACTCTAAGGGTTTTCCCTGCTGAATTATATCTATTTAAAGCACTCTTTGCCACCACTGGAACTAATTACGCCCTACTTTCAGTTAATTTAACTTGTTAATGTTCTCAAACAAGTGTCCTTTTCAGAAACACTTTTTCCCCCCTCAAAGTCCACAGTACATTTTATTCACCTCGCTAAGAGGCCTTAGTGTAATACTAAACAAAGATAATTGAGAAATGTTGATGTAAAGAAATCATTTAGGTTCATGACCTGCTTTAGGTCATATACTTGCATTTTAAGGTGTTGGTAGAGGTTTTTTAGTATAGTGTAGTATGATTATAGTATGGTCTGGATTTCCACTATTATGTGTCAGCCTACAGGAGCAAGGTCTCCAAACAGGTGACTGGTTAATGGACAGCCATCTTAAACAATAACAAAACAAAGACCCTACTGGTGCATCCAGCAGGAAGCAGCATAGGGACGCCCACCATAAGTGCTTCCGAGATGGACGGAATAGATTCCTTTAAAACCCCAGGGGTGGGCTTCAAAAATAAAGGTTTCTCAGAAATATATAAAATATGAATAAATACGAAAGTCAATTTTAATGGTTAAAAATTAGAAAAACATTTTTCGTATGCCAACTTTTGATCACAATAAAATACTACACCAATAAGTAATCCTGAACAAATCTCCAAAAATAAAA